AAAAAAAATTTGTCCAGAAGAAAAATCTTAAGCTTAAGATTAGTTTTAAAAAAAGGCTAGAAATGGATTTATCTATTTATCTTATTTTTGTTGTATAATCCAAGAAATATAAATAGACTAAATACATTTGTATTATTTAAGATATTTCCATGAGCCGATTCCAATTATGGGCCATTCAATAACTACAGCTTTATTATTATAAATGAGCATAAAGATAAAACGAGAGGAAAATTCAGAAAAGATTTGTGCATATTTGTGTATAAATATTTATCCCTCGTCCGGGGACAGCGTTCCCGGGATAGGCTCCGGATCCACCACAGCCCTGACCAGGATAAAGCGCTTCCTGAATATAAAGAAATAAATAAATATTCTGCTGAATGCAGCAGTTACACCAGCATTAAACGCAGTTCCGTAGTAAATGTAATATTCGGACGAGTTTGCGTTATTGACACACGGCCCAGTCGCTCATAAACACCAGCACTAAGTGTTGTGTTAGTCACGTATCAGTGTTTAACAGGAGCGAGACCTCTAACAGCACACGCTGAGCTGTCAGTCCTCATTCACTCACTAACACAAATACTATTTACAGTGGCGATATACAGATACAAACAGAATTACAGCACAGCGCTGTTAAATTCTGGAATCTGATTGGGCAGAAGGTGTTGATTAATTTTCTCTGACAGCTGCACATCACAGGTTTTTATTAATGTGCTCTTTCTAATACATTATTGTTTCTCTAGTAACAGCTCCTTCACAAGGACCCTCCACGTAACCTAAGACTAATAATAAACCCTTTTTTTTAAAAGGGATCCTGGTATTTGGAGCATTTCTTTTTAAAAGTTAGACTGAATGATGAACTGATAATTTAAAAAAAACATGGCCGTCATCAACCAGTCAGTTTTCAGCAAGTATTTAAAACACAGCCTCCATCAGCCAATCAGTTTTTATGCAAATATTTAACAAGCATTGCCTCCATCAGCCAGTTTTCAGCAAATATTTAAAAAACATGGCCGCCATCAGCCAATCAGTTTTCAGCAAGTATTTAAAACACAGCTTCCATCAGCCAATCAGTTTTCAGCAAGTATTTAAAAAAAAAAAACATACAGTCAGGTCCATAAATATTGGGACATCGACACAATTCTAACATTTTTGGCTCTATACACCACCACAATGGATTTCAAATGAAACGAACAAGATGTGCTTTAACTGCAGACTGTCAGTTCCATTGGCAGCCATACATGCCCACTACCACCATGCTTCACTGATGAGGTGGTATGCTTAGGATCATGAGCAGTTC